GCATGACATATGATGTATGCTAGGTTAGATTTGTATATGCATAATTGTTTTGCATATTTGGCATGACAGGGGATTGGTAATTGAGGCACGAGTTAAGATTGATGGTGATTGTAGTCACAGTTTTGTTGTAGTTTAGGTCGTTGTTGATCTAGCATCAGTTTTGAGGTAGGTGAAGAGACACCTTTTATTTAGGCTCTTATGAGTTGAGTCATTAAGCATAGCCATAGTGCTAAATTTGTTAGTTTTGGGCCATGATGAGATTATGGACCTCTTAGGATCCTTGGTTATTTTGGAAGGTTCTTCTGAGATTGCAATTTTCGTGGGCTGGTACGTTTATGGGCGGGTGCATGGCATTGTCATGCTACCTTACTGGCTAGCTACGAGTGCAATTCAGATGGAATCGGCGTTGGTTTTTGTTTCGATAGGCGTAGTCCTTTTGGTCAGTGATTGATGGTCATTTTAGGGACGATTCATAAGATTGATTCGGTTATCCGATTGTATGGCTAGAGTAGCCATTTTGTTTGAGTTCTCCTTGCATGATGATGCTTTTGGGATCGAGTCGATTGATTGATGTTTTGGGTTAATGAGAGCATTGCATTGTTAGTGTCACTTGTAATGTCACCTTTAGGTTTGAAGATGGATTGTTAGAGTCTTACCATTGTGATGAAGGCTCACGTTTGTTTTGAGACAGGTTGTTGTCACATTGGTTTTTGGAGTCAATTTATAGCTAGGACTGGTCATCCTTTTTACCTAGACACTCTAGGACACGATGTCTCTAGGGTTCTTTGTTGCATTATTTTTTCTTCTGCAGTTTCGTTTACTACCATGTTAGTAGTATGATTTATGTTATTGCGATGCATGAGTAGGTGGAGGTCTATCCACATTTATCTTCTTGTTGTGTGACATTAGCATGCCTTACATATATGCTTAGAGATGTCATGTTGTTACTGTCCTTTAATGACATGCTTTTGTGTTTACATGGAGACGTGCCGCATGTACTCTTGACTTTATCTATGTGAGTAGATTTACTTATTTGGTAGTCGCATTCCTTGTCATATACATGACTTCCATGTTTGGTTTTCCCTTTTTGTTTCTCTCAGTCTCACGTAGTTGTATGTCAGTTTCTGTAATGGTTTCGTTGTGAGATTACTTGTAAAGGAGTTTTCACATTTGTTTTGCCCTGAGCTGTCTACTTCCCTAAGGTGGGAAAAATGCTCCATTTTAGTGTTCATCGTGTTGACACTTGTGGGAGAATAGGGTTTCTCCTCTTTTTCTTGGTTCGTATTTAGGACTTCACAAGGAGTGAGTCTCTTCTCTTCATCGCCTTATGCACAGTTTTGGGGTTGGTTGGTCCGTGAGGATCACCATTGTTGTCTTGAGTCCTTGGTGAAGATTTGATGGATTTTATTCGACTTACTCACATATAGGGGGCTAAGTCTTTGACCTTGTTGTCTTTCATTTCAGAGGTAGAGTCGTGGTGTTGTCCTTCTTAGGACTGGTGGTTCCCTTTCTTTCGTGTCTTCCCTTGGGGAGTTTTTACCGTGGTTGTTAACGAAGTTGTGGTGCTCAGAGTGAGTAGATTGGTGTAAGATCCTTTTTCGGGGACTTGTGTCCATATCATTGAGGATTTATTTGATTCATGAGGTGAGCTCGATGCTCTTTTGAGAATGTCTTTTAGAGACTTGTTTCAGTTTAGGAGACTTGGATGTGATTGACTCTTAAGAAAGGTTTTAGGGAATTGCTGTTGGATTTGGCTTGTTTGTGAAGTTTTCTCGTCCTAGTTATGGCTAGGCATGGTTTTGGGGAAAACGTAGTTCCAGTGATTGGTTGTGGATTGAAATTAAGGAATTTTGATTTAACTTGGCAATGCCAAGCACGGCTTCGAGAGATTCGTTTTGTGACCTTAGTTGTTAAGATTTTGATGTGTGTGCCACATGGTGGACTTATATTTCGAGGATTTAATTATGCATGATAGGGATGTGGATATGATGTTTAATTACCATGTGATCTTGTAGTTGATCTATTTCAGGGAGATATATAGGATTTTCGATGAAATGTCTTGTAGTGAGGTTCATTTTGATTTCTAGAGGTTTTGATTTGCTTTTCAGGCTTTGGATTCTTGATTGATGTTGTTAATAGGAGTGTTTTGAGGCAATGGAGTTATTGGTTTGGTTGTATTGAGGATTTAAGGGCTTAAGCGTAGCCTATGACATTGTTGTCAGAGTTTTGGGATTTGCTACCCCAACTCTCCAAGATGTCTGGTTCCCGTAGTGCTTTTGGTAATGATGATTCACGACATTGATCTCATTTGTATCAAGAGGTTTTATGGGTAGACCTAGTGGGGGGTAGGTTATGAACTAGGGCCTTATACTGTCATGCTACCGTACAAAGTTGAGTGTTGTGGGCAAGTGTTAGTTGTCGACGATGCTACCTTACTGACAAGTAAGTGCGGGTGGGCACTAAGCATTGTCATTGCTACCACACATTTGAGTACGTCGTGGGCGGGTTCTAGTCGATATTCATACTGCCACATCATCCTTGTTCGGTACCCTGATGTGATACGTGGTTATCTTGGAGTTCTTTTGGTGGTTATTTTTGGATCGGTATGATGGTTTACTAGGAGGAATGCTTACGGTTGTTGTCTTCCATTCCTTTGTTTGACCTTAGGTTCTATATATGACTTTGACTTGTCGTGTGGTCGTGAGGTCACTTTTCTTTTGAGAGGTTTTCCTGTCATGAGCATGTGGGTGCGAATGGGTGCGAATGACATTGGTTTGTATATTGTCTTCCAGTTTTGGGATTGCTTTCGTAGCGTATTGTGTGGGATACTCAAAGATGTACTTCGTAGTTATCCTAGTTTCGCCTTTTGTTTCGTTGGGGCTGGATTTCGGGGACGAAATCCCTTTAAGGTGGGAAGGTTGTAATGACCCGGTCATTTGCATTCCTTTTCTTTTTACTCAAATTTTAAGGATAAATTTTTTCCGTTGTCTTTTATCTTCTGTGTTTGGTTTCCCATCACTTAGTGTCATATCGAGTGCTCGGAAATGGTTTCTGAGACTCTTTTCTTGAGATTGACAACTTCTTTTGAGGACCGAATCATTTTTACTTTTGTGACACTATTCACATTTTGTCTTTTTCCCGTTTATTGTTTTTTTTCGCATAACCTCACTTTTTGTGCTCGGATTTGATTCCGGCTTTGCATGCACCCATAATATTTAGTTTCCATGATATCTATATTCTCACTTAAGGTTGCATTTTTTTTTAGTTTTTACCCTATTTTGTTCTAGGGGCATTTCGGGTATTTCACAATGTATTTTTTTCATTTTTGCTCACTTTGTTAGGTAGAAAACTCAATTTCGGAGGGGGTTTCTTCTTTGTATTTTTCCAGAAAACTTCATCTTAGCCCTCAAAAATCCATTTTTTTCCGAAAAATCCTTGCTGCAAGGTTTTTGTTGATTTTTAATACAAGTGTACTTGGTACTATTCATTGACTTATTTTTGAGAAGTGTGATAACCGATCCGAAACTTCCGGGAGTCTTGTGTGTGTATTTAAGATTGCATTTTCAAATTAGGCAATTTAAAAACCTCCCGAAACTCCATTTCCTTTTCTTGGGCAGTAGGTAGGATTGATTTTCACCCTCTTGACCTAATTTTCTTGGGGGCATTCTGGGTATTTTGTAATGCATTTTTTTTTTATTTCTGTTCGCGTATCCGGGTAGAAAACTTAGTTTTAGGGGGGTTAGGGGGGGGGGGTTTCTTCTTTGAGTTTTTCCAAAAAATTCCGTTTAGATACCTGTTTTTACTCTCAGTTGCAGTAGCAGTGGGTCGGCAACACTGTAGCTGTCGTGACCCTCTTCTTGTTTTTGACCTTTCTCCCTCGTCCGGACTCCAAATCGAGTGAATTTTTTTTTGAACTTACCTATTTTTTTGCTATCTTTACAACAGTGTGTTCAGTTGCACTTGGATCTTCTTGGATAATTACCAGTTTACCCTTTTTGCTTTGTATGTCCGTTTTTCGTTGTTTTGTCGTTTCTCCTTTGTCCGGATTCCGAATCATGCGATTCTAGAGTCCATCTTGATTGGTTTTTTTTTATTGTATCTCCAGCGGTGTGCTTAATAGTATCCGAATCTATATTTTCAGAGATGACCATTTTGCCCCTATGTTCATTCTTATTCATTTTTGAGACGTCGTTTCCACATTCGTTTTCATTGGGTTTCGTGACCTCATTGAGGATCACATTGGTGTTTCATAAATGTGTAATATTCCTAGAGACCATTGTTACATCTTTTGCTTCCGCATTATGGATTCATCATTGGATTTACGTTAGGTTTATCTTAGGACGCACTGGCCTAAAAACCAGGGCTGTCACATGATCAAAGAGATGTTTACGAAATTTTGTTTTAAGAGTTTCAACGTGATCCAACCACGTTATATTCGAATGAGGAGTCGGCAATTAAAGTCGAAAGACCTATCATTGATATATATATATATATATATATATATATATATATATATATATATATATATATGTATGTATATTAATCATTTTCTATGTCAAATGCAAATATATCAATTCATATCTAATTTATTAATTTAACTTATTGTGGGATTAAAACCATATTATCAAATTAAATATGCAATCTATATATTTGAATTATCAATTGGATTCGGACCAGATTGTAATCGAAATTGCATCCATTGAGAAGGCTATAACTAAGTTTTAATTCATGCACCATCTATTTTGTTGAGACATCCAGAATGAATCCAGAAGAACGCACTTTGAACCGAAGAGACTACTAATGAAATCTCCAATACCCTTTTTGACTAGCCAAGTTTTGGGAGTGTCAAACTTATCTGCTAAGGGCTCCCCAACAGATGTCAGCCATACACGCACGTGAGCCCCTCTCTCACTCTCTCTCAAAACCATGCTTCTGGACCAAGTCTTCCTTTTTTGCCACCTGAGCTTGGCTACAAAAAACGGCCCAACGCCAAGTGTGCTTAAATGGAAAACAGTGAGCTCCATTTCTGACACGATCAAAGTGGATGGTCATGCCATGTAGCAGCCAATACACACCAACATAGCCACGTATCAACACTTGCTTAATTACTTCACTCCCTCTCCATCAAACCTCTTATCCTCCTTCCAACTATAAATTATGCTAAGTTTGTTCTTATCACCAACCCTTCAAATTAGAACTTCTCTAAAAACAATGTTGAAATCAGCTATGGGATTAGGAGAGAGAAAGCAGCAGCAGCAGCAGATGAGGAGACCTACTCAAGCAAGTTCAAGGAAAGGGTGCATGAGAGGCAAAGGAGGCCCAGAGAATGCTTCCTGCACCTACAAAGGTGTCCGGCAGCGCACTTGGGGCAAGTGGGTGGCGGAAATCCGCGAGCCCAACCGCGGCGCGCGTCTCTGGTTGGGGACCTTTGACACCTCCCACGAAGCTGCAAGGGCCTACGATGCCGCGGCTACCAAGCTCTACGGGTCGGCTGCCAAGCTCAACCTGCCGGAGCTTCATCACATGAAGCCCCCACCGTTTTCGCGCTCCCCCACCGACACCCGCATGGAAAATCAACTGCGGGTTCAAGGAAGTTCGTCTTTGTCATCGGATAGCTCGCGTTCGGGGTTCAATGATCATGAATCGGTGTTCGGGAGTCTTGAGTTATCACTTAAAAGTGAAGGTGTTGGCGATAACGGTGTAGGAATTGACCGGAGTTGGGAGAATCTGAGCGTGGAATTGCCGGAGTTTGACGACTCATCTATTTGGGCGGAGGTCACGGCGACTTTTGGGTTTCACGAGGTGGCGGAACAAGGGAAAGGTGTGGACGGCATCGAGTATCCATGGGGCAACTGAAAAACTATATTGAAAGGGTTATTAATTTAGTTGTATATTGTGAATAATACATATGCATATAGTACTAATAGTTATACACTTAGGAACATGTGTAGAAATATCGTACACTTTGGTAATCGTAACAGGGGTTGTGTATTTTCTCAACCGCTATGGTACCCATAGAGACAGATATATGTATTTGCTCTTTTTTGTGAAGCGTGCTTCATGTATAAAACATGTATGAAAAGTTTGAGTAATCTTTACAAAGTAAGTTTGTTTGTTTGCGGAATACGTTTACAATTTGGCGGTAAAAAACCTAATTTGTTGGTGAAAATACACGCTGAATGACACTGATGAAGTGAGATATATTACCAAAATAATCGATATTTATACTACTAACAATGTATACTTAAATCTAATATAAAATCTATTAGAATCTATCGAAGTTGTACTACAAACATTCTGTTTTAATCTAACAATCAGTTTTAAGAACGACAATGTAGAATGTTCCACTCAAATCAGCGACTCTAATCTACAGTTTTATTCAAATCTACTAGAGTATACAGAACTACAGTTTTATTCAAATCTACAAGAATATATTGAAGTGTTCTCAAATCTACTATAATATATTGAACTGTTCTATTCATCTACTAGAATATACCGAACTGTTCCATTCAAATCTACTGGAATCTACAGAACTGTTTTACTGATAATGTAGAATGTTCAACTCCAATCTAGTTGTTGATAATCGCGCCACGCTAGTTGTCCAAGTGGCGCCACCTCTGAAAATAAGTAAACCTGGCCAATACTTATCTGGCATGCTCCTGAAAGGACCAAGTATCCTCGAGCTCTCGCTAGCACCTCGTACTCGCTCGCACTAGCACCTCGCACTCCCTTGGGCTCACACCTCGCACTCGCTCTCGCTAGCACCTCGCACTCGCTCGCGCTCACACCTCGCGCTCCCTTGTGCTCACACCACGCACTCGCTCGCGCTAGCACCTCGCACTCACACCTCCCACGCCCTCGTACTCACCTCTCACTCGCTCGTGCTAACACTCACTCGCACTCGTCCGAAGCACCGAACCCTCATCCGGCAATCATCAGTGCCGAGCGCTCGTCCAAAGCAACCATCCTTCCTACTCTTTTGAGGTCAATTCCTGCTGGAGCGACCTCGAGCTTTCTACTTTGTGAACTCCCCTCTTTTTGGATAGAGGGACCTCGAAATATAGACTCGGGATGTGGCCTCACGAGGTTAAGAAGGCAGAACCTCGGAGTTGGCTCATTCCTATGCTGGGTTCAGGAATCTAAGGGCATGTGGATAGGTGGCTGAGATCCAAGGTACCGCCTGAGTCCGAGGCCGATGCAAGGGGGAAAGGACATTCGGTATCCGAGCTCGAGTCCATCCGTTAATGTCCCTTTTTGGACCGGAGGACAAAACGCCGCAGTCCATCCGTCAATGTCCCATCTATCGGGAAGGGAGACCCTCAAACCCTTGGGCAAGAGCGGGCTCACCCAAAGGACTACGAGACATTGACCGAGGGAATGAGCACTATAAATAGGCACATTAATCAGCCTCTTAAGGAGAACAACCACCCTAACCACCAGACACTGCCAAGCTCAAGTTCATTGGGTACTGAGGTCGGCCTTCCCTTTCTTAATCTTTATTGTATAAAAAGTCCCTTGTATCACTTGGATCTCCACTTAGATACTGATCTCAGATTTCTTAGCTTATGTGGAACGATCTCCTCATCCTATTCACGAACCACCATCAACATTTTGGTGACTCTGCTGGGGAGGAGCGCTTCACAAATGTCAAGTGTGTGAGAGATCAGCGTGCGAGAGATCAGTCCACCCTCCCAGACTAGCCTCGCCCTCGGTGAGGGCTATGATGGGTCTTTGAGTATGCCAGGGTCATACTTCCCTAGAACAAGAATCATCTATCTTAACGCCTTGGTCAAGGCCCATAATGCATTATCGTACAGAATGGAGTAGCTTAAGGACACCTAGAAAGATGTGGTGACCTTGCTTCGGGAGATTGTTGATAGAGAAATACCTCGACGAGGTGCAAGTTCGAGCGGTGATTTCTTTGACGAGCCCACTGGGAGGCAGGTGACCCCGAACAGTTCTATGAGGCGTGCGCCCCCATCATCAGCCGAAGCAAAACGTTCCACTGGTCAACGCAAACGGCCATAGGACATATCACCGCGTGCTCGCCGAACCCTTTTTAGCACCCCACTTACGGCACCAGCGAGATTGGGTATACCGAGTACTAGCCAGAGGGAGGCATGCCGAAGGGATAGGAGCTTGGAGGAATTCGGACACAAATAAGACTTAACTCGGCAGTCGCCCTATGTGACCATGGCGGATCTGTAAACGCTACTACGGAACGAAAGGAGTATGTTGACCAGGAAATTGCCCCTGAGCCACCTTACGCATTGTCCATTGCACTTCTCCCTTATCCCCAGGGGTATGTGGCCCCCAAATTCAGCAAGCTCGATGGGAGGAAGGGCAACCCACTTGAACATGTGGTACGGTTCATAGAGGCCTTGGGACCCTTTAGGAATGACCATACTGTGCGGCTTAGGGAGTTCTCTAAAACTCTCACAGACCGGGCTTACAAGTGGTACGCCAATCTGGAGTCTGGATCACTTACCACGTGGAATCAGTTAGCTATGTTGTTTCATACTAAGTTCTTCCAAGTAGAAGAAAAAGTGACTACCCTGTCTTTGACTAAAGAAGTTCAAGGCCCTGGTGAAGACTTACTCACATATGTTCATAGATTTCATGACTGGGCAATGCAATGTTATGAGATACATGAAGATGAGGCGCTTGCTAAGATTTGTATAGAAGGAATGCAGGGATCCGACCGGATTCACCTTATTAATCTGAAGCTCCTTACCTTCGCGAACTTAATAGAAGCATCTCGCAATCTGGCAAACAATCTCGCCATCTGCATGCATGGTGCTATGCAAGAGGAGAATAGAGGCAGGCACAGGCCCCAGGTTTTAGCCGCTGATGCACCCCCTAACAAGAAGAGCACGGGGACGGATACTTCCGCAAGACCGTGAGAAGGCTACCTTAGTAAGACGGAACGTGAGCCGCTTCTTCATATACAAAGGGGAGCTAATAAGGTGTGGCTTTGATGGTAGAACTAAACGCTGCATAAGTCTTGTTGAGGCGCAAGAGGTACTGAAGCAAGCCCATGAGGATAAGCATCAAGGATGGAAGAAAATGTACAACTGCCTTATACAGCTATGCTACTACTGGCCCACGATGCAAATGGATAGCAAGCAGTATGCCCAAAAGTGCCGAGAATGTCAAATGCATAATCTCGCCATCCACGCTCCAGCGGTAAAGCTACATTCCACGGAACCTCCCTAGCCATTTCAAACTTGGGCCATGGATTTGATCGGTCATATCTCGCTGAAGTCCAAAAAGAAGAAGTGGATACTGGTGGCAGCCGTGTGATGAGCGCTGAAAAGTGCGTATTTAAACCCCTTAAGCTTAGGCATTCTAGTACCTTTATCTATCTTACTTTACCGTTTTAGATTGATTTCGTATTATTCCATTTTCAGGCACTTATCCCGAAAATATGCTAACTCAGCCAAATAAGAGCTTAATTGAAGCAATTCCGGGATTAAATAAAGAAAAGAGCAAAGTGGAGAAAGAATGAAGCAAATGAAGCCAAATGTGACAAGCAGCAAAGTTCGATCGATCCAAGTTCAAGGTTCGATCGATCGAACAATGATCGATCGCAGCACTTCAAGATAGATCCAAGCCTTAGCCCAAAAGTATAATATCCAAAAGTTCGATCGATCCAACACCATCCTTCGATCGATCGAACACTTTTGTCCTTATTCAAATAATTGATCTTATCCATAGCTGTACCACCCACTAACCACTTTTGTCCTTTTCCCATAAATATCTCCTAAAATATCTCGAATTTGTCTTTTACCAAAAAGCTCAGCCAGCTGGATCGATCTAGCCTAAGTTTGATAGATCTCAACCAGTTCGATCGATCCAAGACCAAGGTTCAATCGATCGAACTTCCTCCAGTGCGAAAAAGTTAAATTTCCATCTCATTGAAAGTTGTCCTTTATCCAATCATTAGGGAATATTGTGTGCACAACCCCAGCTCATTTTGGGTGTCATTTTGACCTACCTATATAAGGATAAGGATCGTTTTTTACAAAGGGAGCTAATTTGATTTTTATATCATCTCTCGGAGAAGAAGTGGAGAGGAGGAGGAAGCTAGAGACACCATTGGAGACTCTTCATCAACCAAGGAGCAAGCCTCTTCCATGGAGTTAGCCCTTGAGGGTTGGAGCAACATCACCATAAGTGGCTAGACATCCTCTTGGGGCTAGAGTTAGCCCCAAGCATGCTTTCTATATCTTAATATTGTGTATTATTGAGGGATTAGTGTTGTAATTGATGTTTTGACACTTTGATATATATAGATCTTGTTTATTCAATGATTTATGTGGTTTAATGCTTCCAATTGATCATTTCATTCTATCTATATGTCTATGTATGCTAGAATAGATGTTCAAGTGCTTGTCTCTAGATTTTGTGTTGTTGATGCATGTCTATATGTATTGATGCTATTGATTTGAAGATTGTTATAACATAGTGCGTAAAGGAATGCTCTTGTGATTCTCTTAATGGTTCATACTTATTCCTTGATGGATTGTGCCTCCCCCCTAGTTTATTTTCATGCTAGTAGTGTAGATGTAGTGTAGTTGTAGTGTAGTGTTAAATGGAAGGACAATCCATGCTTTTTGTTTGATGATCCAAGCTTTTGAATGCAAGTAGTATATGTCCCTAACCTTGTGTTGTATTTGGATTGTGAGCTTAATGAAAGGATTAATGACTTGTTTTGATCTATTGTGCCTTTCACATGTTGTTTAGATAATATATGCTTCATTGCTTAGATATATTGTGCCTTTCACATGATGTTTAGACAATACATACTTAACTAGTCATCATTGCTTGTTGAATCAACAAAACACACACACACCAATATTGCAACACACCATTTGCCCTCATTAATCACTTGTCAATGATATAGAAATGCATTGCTTGGTGGTGATCTCTAAACCCCAAGATCTCTCTCTCTCTTACTTACTCTTGATTGCATTCTTTTGCTATCACTTAGTTTAAATTAGTTATTCTTTAATCAACCAACCAACCAATTGTTTGATCACTCGACCTACTAGCCCTAATAACGACTCCACGACATTGCTCGATCCTCACAAATCCCTTAGGACGATCCCTACT